TACAAAATATTTGACAGAGTTCTCCCCCTAGTGGAACTTGAAAATGATCTAAAGTATTTCCATACTTCCATACAAAGAATAACCTAAAATGTACTATTCTTATAATTGAGAAAGGAGTTTCAGATTTTAGCAAGAGATCTATTATGGATCTGCATGTAATAAGTAAATAAATGCATGAAAGTTGAATCATCAAGACATTTACTGAAAACACATTTACTAAATGTATTAATAGTAAGGTAGCAAAGCACAACTCAGTAAAAAGAAATACCTTAAAAGCAGAGAAACACAATTTAGGAAGATACAGCAGCTTGCACAATGGTACAGAATTTTGAAAATATGTGAAATTTTTGAAAAGTGTGTGTGTGTGCGTGGGTGTGTGTGTAAGGGGTAAGGAAGGAGTATGAAGAGATAATGCTGAAAGATGAGATGGGCAATGCAGGCTTGGGAAGCAATGAAAAGGTAAGCCATTTTAGGCTGAGAAATTCTGAGATGATTTGCTAGGTAAAAGGCAGTCAGTAAAAATTCTTATTTTATAGAAAACTAACTCAGGATAGCTCTGTGGAAGAGCTGAGGCTGGAGAAGTGAAACTGACTAGGAAGTTATTACAATAGTTCAGGTAAGGCTGAGGACAAAATAATTCAGGGAATGGCCAGGGGAACAGAAAGGCTAAGAGAGATTAAAAGAAAAGTTTCTGAAATTAAAATCACCTTTGATTTAGTTTTAGATTTATTCCAGACTTTCCTCTTTTGAAGGAACTGAGGAGTTGGGCAAGACACTTCAGTCTTCATGAGTTATTAAAAATTATCTGAAAGTGGGACACCTGGGTGGTTCAGTTGGTTCAGCAGCTGCCTTTGGCTCAGGTCATGATCCCAGGGTCCTGGGTTCGAGTCCCACAGTGAGCTCCTTGCTTAGAGGGGAACCTGCTTCTCTCTGCTTCTGCCTGCCACTCTGCCTGCTTGTGTTCTCTCTCTGACAAATAAATAAATAAAATCTTTAAAAAATTATCTGAAAGCAAAACTACAAGAGTATGTGAGAAGGTAAAATGTTGGTTATATTAACTAGCACAAGCACTTTGTAAAAGAATTTGATATTATCTAGTAAAGTTGAAAGTTTACATATTCTCTATATAGCCTTCATGTAGAGGGTTAAGAAAGGACTAAGTGAAGTTCTCACTAGGTTGAACAATCCGTTAAGAGGTGCTACCACTGATCAAGACTAGAGATACAGAAAGAAAAAAAAATTTGGATGAAACAGGAACACATAATTTTAAACATGTTGAATTTGAAGTGCCTGTGCAACTTCCAGGTGGAGTGGTCTGGAGTCCATTAAAACTACTGGTCGACTCATCAAAAGACACAATAAGTTAAAGAACAACAAAAGACAAGTCAGAGCGGAAACAGGTATTTACAAAACATAACAGCAATAAGTAAATAACTATACATCCAAAGAAAAAGACAAAAACCTACCAGAAAAATACATATAAAAAGACTTTAGCAGACCTTTACAAAAGAGGAAATCCAAATGGCCAGGCTCATTAATAATCAGGTAAATGGAAATTAAAACCACAACAAAATATCACTGCATACCCACCAGAATGCACAAGTTAAGACATCTGACACCACCAAGTGTTAAGAAGGATATGGAATAAGCAAGAACTTTCATACTTTCAAGAACTTTCAAACTCTTGGGAGTTTAAGCTGGTACAAGCACTTTGGAAAATAAAGTTGAAGATTTGCATGCTCTGTGACACAAACATTCCACACTAGAGAAACATGTACATGTAGTCAGTATAGTGCACACGATTGCTTATAATCACAGCACTGTTCCAAACAGTCCCAATCCACAAACTCCCAAATGACCAATAATATTAGAGTGGATACATTGTGATATAGTCATAAAATGGGAACACATGACAATAAAAATGATTACTCTTACTAAAATAATGTTGAACAAAGAAAGAAGAGACAAAGATATTCAAGAACACTCTATTCAAACAAAGTTCAGAAACAAGGAAAATTAAACTGTACAAATCAGAGAGGCATATGCAGATGACACAATTATAAGGAAAAGCAAAGGAGAGACTACCACAAAACTCAGGACAAGGGAGTCAGGTGTGATTGGGTAGACTTCTGGATACAGGCAATATTCTGTATCTTGACCTCCACCGTGACTATATGGGTAATGTGTTTACCCATATTATAATGTAGCTTTGTATTACAAACTTCTTGGTATATTGTGCTAATAATTTTTTAAAAGGTTTAAAAATTATTGGTTGGGGGAAACATGTAAGGGCTGGAGTTACATTAGGATCTGTTTGTACAGATGGCTCCTTAAAGCCATGTAAGTGAGATCCTTCATTTGAATACAGCCTTTAAAAAGCCAAAAACTTGGGATTCTCAGAGGAATACAAACATTCAGAGATGATAAGAAGACTAAAACAAAAAACAAGAAAGAAGTAAGGCAAAAGTGAGTGGTGGTGGGAAAGCTATGGGAGGAGAGAATGTAAAGAGGACGACTGGTCAACAACGATAAATGAGATAAACTCAAGCAGGATAAATACCGAAAAAATACCAATGAATTTACCAATTAGGATTCCAGGGATTATTTAATCAAGAGCCATTTGATGCCAACATATTCCTGATAGTAAAACTTTCATGCATTTTCTATTTTCAGAAATGATGTAACATGCTGCATTCCATTTTAAATAAAACTTGCAGCATATCAGGCTCTTCACTTTCATAAGTATTTCAGAATAAATAAAAACAATGATATAAATCTTGCTGTTTGTGACTAACATGCATAGAAATGTAGAAAAATTTCATAATTTTCTAGATGTTAGAAAACTCCAGGCTTAAACTAGAACTGAATATGATAGCGTGATTTTAAATCACTGATTACAAATATGTCATGAAGTCAGTTCATGTTTGAAGTTTTTCTGAGTATGTGCTACTTTACAGGGAATATTAGCAACAGAACATAAGGCTAATTTTTTAATAAACTTATACAAATCATAATGTATCATGATTACTTTTGACCCAGATCAAAAGATGAAGCTATAATACATGTAAGTCTTAGAAATTAACCAAATTTTGAATTGAAATTTAGTTCAAAGGATATTTTAAGTGGGAAGAAAATTCTAGATGTTGCAGCAAAAACTGTATTTTGGCTTGGAATAGAATATAACACATTTTGAAAGAAATAAGATTTTAAACACAGTATTTTTCCCATATGAGAAATTTACTAACTTATAAATACAATAAGAAATAGGACATAGAGTGACAAAATATTTAGTTTTGAATCTTCTTTCAAAAATTGCTTTGGCAATGTACAAATATGGTATCAAACTATCAAACGTGGACTTAAACAGAGGCAAAAAAAGAACAAGACTAAGTTAAGTTGGACTTCAACAAAAATAAAAACTTTTGTGCATCAAAAAACAGTAACAGAACAAAAAGGCAACCCAAAGAAAGGGAGAAAACATTTGAAAACTATCTATCTGATAAGGGATTGACCCTAAGGATACACAAGGAACTTCGATAACTCAAAAACCTGATTAAAAAATGAGCAAAGGACTCATACAGACATTTCTGTAAAGAAGATATACAAATAGCAAAAAGCAAATGGTAAGATGGTCAACATCACTAATTAGGGAAATGCTAATCAAAACCACTATGAGCTACGACTTCATTCTGATTAGGATGGCTACCATAAAAAAACAAACAACAACAAAAACCCCACAAAATTAACAAGTATTGGTAAGGACGCGGAGAAATAAGAGCCCTTGTGCACTGGCTAGCAAGAATATAAAATGGTGCAGCTGCTGTGGAAAACAGTATAGCAATTACTCAAATAATTAAAAACAGGATTATCATATGATCTATCAATCCCACTCCTGGGTAAATCCCAAAGAAATGAAAGCAGGGATTCAAAGAGATCTGTACAACATCTGTACAACCATGTTCACAGAAGCATTATTCACAATAGCCAAAAGGTGGATGCAACCCAAGTGTTTACCAATGGATAAACAACAAAATGTGGTATACAGATACAATGGAATATTACTCAGTCTTATAAAGGAAGGAAATTTTTTCATATATTATTTTTCACATATTATCCATTACACATGGATAAACCTTAATGACATTATGCTAAGTGAAAAGACCCAGTCATAAAAAGACAAATACTGGGGCAACTGGTGGCTCAGTTAAAGTGGCCAAGTGTTGATTTTGGCTTAGGTCATGATCTCAGCATCCTGGGATTGAGCCCTACAGTCTGTAGGTGGGTCGGTTTGTAGGTTGATCTGTCGGGCTTCTTGCTTAGTGGGGAGTCTGCTTTCCCTCTCTCTTTCTCCCTCAGCCCCTCCCCTGACTTGTGCACTCTCTTTCTCTAGAATGAATAAATAAATCTTAAAAAAAAAAAAAAAAAAAAAAAAAAAGACAGGGACCCCTGGGGGGCTCAGTCATTTAAGTGTCTGCCTTCGGCTCCGGTCATGATCCTGGAGTCCTGGAATGGAGTCTTGCATGGGGCTCCTTGTTCAGCAGGGAGAGTAACCTGCCACTCTCCCTTTTTGTGTGTGCTCTTTTTCTCTTTCTCTGACAATAAATAAAATCTTAAAAAAAGGACAACAAATACTATATCGTCTTACTTACATGCAGTACCGAGAGTAGTCTAATTCAGAGATAAAAAATGGAATGGTGGTATCCAGGGGTTCAGGGAAGATGGGCATGAGGAGATGTTCAATAGGCAGATTTTCAGTATTGCAAGATGAAAAGAGTTCTGGAGACTGACTGGTTGTACAATGTGAATGTACTTAATGCCATAGAGCTTACACTTTAAAATGGTCAATTTTATGTTATATGTTATGTTACCACCAATAAAAGGACGTGGAAATGAATATGTGTTGAAAATAGAATCATACTCATTAAGAGGAAAATACAAGTCACTCTTTAGGTACAGAGAGAAATTATTTTTATGTGTACTTTATTATTTTCATATGGTACCTGGATTTCCAGCTCAGCAATGTGCTGCTGTAATTCAGCCACAGCAGCTATGCTATCTGCTTCCCGGAGTCTCACAGCCATCACTTCTTCCTTGTTCTAGGGCGGCAAACAAAACAAACCAAAAATAAACCATGTGATAAAAGTAAAATATGCTTCAAATTTTGAAAACAAATAAATTAATGATTAGATGAAAAAAAAAGTGCCATTATTTCCTGAACTTGATATATAATGAAGACCAAATATATAGAATAACATTCTATCTTTAAGCATTCAGAAACAACACTCATATAAACAAGTGTTGCATAAAAAGTTAAAATTAAAAATGAACTTAACCTTAAAAGAATTGAAATCACTGGTGACTCTGAAAGCTGTTCAGTTTTATGCAAGAACAAAAATTGAGAACTTTCAAACACTTAATTTGGATAACAGATTAACAGAGAATATGGATACTGAGAGAGTATATTAACTAGATAATACTTAACGATTATATTCTTTCTGAAGCAATAAATGTTAAAGAACATTTACATTATACTACAAAAGAGAATAGAAGTTCAATTATATCATAATTCTAATCTTCCCAGGAAAAGCATAGTACTTAACTTTACCACCTCAAAATTGCACAAAGAAAAACCCCAAAACTGTATTCTACAATACCATAGCCAATTAATACTGATCCAGAAACAACAAAATATGAAGAAAATATGTTACAGAAAAGTAGGGTATGCAAAATATTTTTCTCCTCCATTAACTCCAGTTGAAATGTAGCAATCATTTGTATCAAAAATTTACAGTATGGTGATCATCGGAGAAATTTAGCATCTGACAGTACTATAATACCAAAATTTCTAAATATAACAAATTTAGAATATAATAATTAAACTACTTATTCTTGTATCTTAGATACTTCTGCTTCACGTTAAGCAGATACTGCTTTAAATATTTTGCCAGTCTGCATATGGTCACATGTGTACCCTGTGCTGTGCTAATCAATGTCTAAAAATCAGGGGCACCTGGGTGGCTCAGAGGTTAAGAATCTGCCTTCGGCTCAGGTCATGATCCCAGGTTCCTGGGACTGAGCCCCATGTCAGACCCCCTGCTTGGTGGAGAACCTGCTTCTCCCTCTGCCTCCTTCCCACTCCCCCTCCTTATGCCCCCACCCCCAACCAAATAAATAAATTCCTTTAAAAAAATGTCTAGGGGGAGAAGCAAGATGGCAGAGGAGTAGCAGACTAAAATGACATCAGGTCCCAGGAGTTCAGCTAGGTAGTTATCAAACCATTCTAAACACCTACAATCTCAACAGGAGATAGAAGAGAAGAAGAACAGCAATTCTAGGAACAGAAAATCAAACACTTTCTGGAAGGTACGATGTGTGGAGAAATGAATCTGAAATGACAGGAAGAAAGACCACAGGAGGGGGAAGGGGTTGGCTCCCGGCAAGCAGTGGAGCAGTGGAGCACAAAATCAGAACTTTTAGAAGTCTGCTCCTCTGAGGGACATCGCTCCAGAGGCTAAGCAGGGGTGGAGTCCTCGCGGGGACAGTGTGGTCTCAGGTCCCGCGGGGTCACGGAAAGATTGGGGGTGTCTGTGTGTGGTAGAGCTCCCAGGTATCGGAGCAGGGAAGCCAATACAGAGACAGAGCTGAGGAGTGAGCTCTCAAATCAGGGTTACCTTAAACCATGATCCAAGGCACAGTTGGGCCACTGCTCTTCCAGCAGGGACCCCACAAGTGGCAGATCCAGAGAGACCCCCTCCTTCCTTCTCCAGGAGGAGTGGCACAGAAATGTGCAGCAGGAATCTGCTGGGTTTGGAGACTTCAAATGGGGCCATGCGCCAGAGATAGAAATGCTCAGTCACAGGCCAGGTGAGTACAGAGTGTAGCTGGAGACATGGGAGATGGGAGGGATTTCTGCTTTTCTCTGAAGGCACACTGAGGAGTGGGGTCCTGAGCTCTCAGTTCCTCTAGGCCCGGAAATTGGGAGGCCACCATTTCCATTCCCGTCCTCCAAAGCTCTATGGAAAGCATTCAGGGAACAAAAGCTCCCCAGAGCAAACCTGAGCAGATTACTTAGCCTGGCCCCTGGCAAAGTTAGTGCAATTCTGCCTCGGGGAGACATTTGAGAATCACGGCAACAGCCCCCTTCCCCAAAAGATCAGCAAGAACATCCAGCCAAGACCAAGTTCACTAATGAGAACTGTGGAACTCCAGAGCTAGAGGAATGCAACACATGGAATTCATGGCTTTCCCCCCACGATCCTTCAGTCTTGCAAAGTTAAATTTTTTTAAATTTTATTTTTTTTCTTATTCTCTCTGTTTTTAACTTTTCCTCTTTCCTCTTTTTTTTTTTTTCTTTTGGAAGATTTTTTTATTTCCTTATGTTAACAGAGAGAGAGAGATCACAAGTGGGCAGAGAGGCAGGCAGAGAGAGGGGGAAGCAGGCTCTCTGCTGAGCAGAGAACCAGATGCAGGGCTTGATCCCAGGAGCCGGAGATCATGACCTGAGCCAAAAGCAGAGGCTTAACCCACTGAGCCACCCAGGCGCCCTTCCTCTTTCCTCTTTTAAAGTTTTTTAAATAGTTTATCTTAATAATACCTTTCTAAAATATATATATATATATTTTTAAACCTTCATTTTTATAGTCATATTTTATCTCTTCATTGTATTTAACCTTATTTTTTGTATATGTACAGTTTTTTTTTCTTTAAAATTCTGGGATACAATTTCTTCTAATAGATCAAAATATACCCTAAATCTAGCACATGGCTTTGCTCTAGTCTCCAGTCTGAACACATTCCCTCCTCTTTTTTTTTCCTCTTTTTCCAACCAACTTATCTTATCAATTCCTTTTTTTATAATTTTTTAAAAATTTCAACATTACAGTTATATTCTATCCCTTCATTGTGTTTACTCTTATTTTTATAGATATATAAGTTTTTCTTTCTTTAAAACATTGGGAGGTAGTGGGGTGCCTGGGTGGCTCAGTGGGTTAAGCCTCTGCCTTCGGCTCAGGTCACAATCTCAGGGTTCTGGGATCGAGCCCTGCATTGGGCTCTCTGCTCAGCAGGGAGCCTGCTTCCTCCTCTCTCTCTGCCTGCCTGTCTGCCTACTTATGATCTCTATCTGTCAAATAAATAAATAAAATCTTTAAAATAAAACAAAACAAAAAAACGTTGGGAGGTAGTTTGTTCTAAGAGACCAAAATACACCCAAAATCAAGTGGGTGGCTCTGTTCTATTCACCATACACACACACACACACACACACACACACACACACACACAAATAAATAAATAAATAAATAAATATTAACATCCCCCTTTCTTCTCCCCCCGGATTTGGGTCTCTTCTGATTTCATTAGCATACATTTTTCTAGGGTCTTTGCCAACCTTTTAGTATTTTATTCTGTCGTTCATATATTCTTATCTGGATAAAATGACAAGGCAGAAAAACTCACCACAAAAAAAAAAAAGAAAAAGAGGCAGTACCAAAGGCTAGGGACCTAACCAATGCAAATATTGCTAATATGTCAGAACTACAGTTCAGAATGATGATTCTCAAGGTGGTAGCAGGGCTCGAAAAAGGCATGGAAGATATTACAGAAACCCTTTTTGGAGAAATAAAATCCCTTTCTGGAGAAATAAAAGAACTAAAATCTAACCAACTTGAAGTTTAAAAAAGCTATTAATAGGGTGCAATAAAAAATGGAGGCTCTTACTGCTAGGACAAATGAGGCAGAAGAGAGAATTAGTGATACAGAAGACCAAATAATGGGGAATAAAGAAGCTGAGCAAAAAAGAGACAAACAACTACTGGACCATGAGGGGAGAATTCGAGAAATAAGTGATACCATAAAATGAAACAATATTAGGATAATTGGGATTCCAGAAGGAGAGGGGAAGAAGGTTTATTGGAGCAAATTATAGTAGAGAATTTTCCTAATATGGCAAAGGGAACAAGCATCAAAATCCAGGAGGCACAGAGAATCCCCCTCAAAATCAATAAAAAAAGGTCTACATCCCGTCTTCTAATAGTAAAACTTACTAGTCTTAGTGACAAAGAAAAAATCCTGAAAGCAGCTTGGAACAGGAAGTCTGTAACATACAATGGCAGAAATATTAGATTGGCAGCAGACTTATCCACAGAGACCTGCAGGCCAGAAAGAATTGGCATGATATATTCAGAGCACTAAATGAGGAAAAATATGCAGCCAAGAATACTATATCCAGCTAGGCTATCATTGAAAATAGAAGGAGAGATAAAAAGCTTCCAGGACAAACAAAAACTAAAAGAATTGTAAACACCAACCAGCCCTCAGGAAATACTGAAAGGGGTCCTTTAAGCAAAGAGAGAGCCTAAAAGTAGTAGATCAGAAAGGAACAGAGACAATATACAGTAACTGTCACCTTACAGGCAACACAATGGCACTAAATTCAGATCTTTCAATAGTTACTCTGAATGTAAATGGGCTAAATGCCCCAATCAAAAGACACAGGATATCAGAATGGATAAAAAACAGAACCCATCAATATGCTATCTACAAGAAACTCATTTTACACCCAAAGACATCTCCAGATTTAAAGTGAGGTGGTGGAAAACAATTTACCATGCTAATGGACATCAAAAGAAAGCTGGGGTAGCAATCCTTATATCAGATCAATTAGATTTTAAGCCAAAGACTATAATAAGAGATGAGGAAGGACACTATATCATACTCAAAGGGTCTGTCCAATAAGAAGATCTAACAATCTTAAATATCTATGCCCCTAACATGGGAGCAGCCAATTATATAAACCAACTAATAACAAAATCAAAGAAACACATCGACAATAATACAATAATAATAGAGGATTTTAACAGCCCTCTCACTATATTGGACAGGTCATCCAAACAAAAGATCAACAAGGAAATAAAGGCCTTAAATGACACACTGGACCAGATGGACATCACAGATATATTCAGAATATTCCATCCCAAAGAAACAGAATACACATTCTTCTCTAGAGCACATGGAACAGTCTCCAGAATAGATCACATCCTGGGTCACAAATCAGGTCTCAACTGGTACCAAAAAACTGGGATCATTCCCTGCATAT